GCCCTTTGTGTGGGTTTTGCGGCGTTTTCTGTGTCCAAATGGGGTTTGACATGAGGGGGAATGATGAGGATGAACGGATACAATGATCGGGAGTGGTTTCAGCTCGAACACGGGTGTGTGTGGAAATGGGCTCGAGGAGGCGCTTCCCGGAGCCGGCCTTTGTCAGCGGGCAGGATCCAGGGATGGAGTTGATGCTTTTCGGTATCCGTGGAATGGTTTGGGATGGAAAGGACCTTAAAGCTCCTCCAGCTCCAACCCCTGCCACAGGCAGGGGCACCTTCCACTAGAGCAGGTTGCTCCAAGCCCCTGTGTCCAACCTGGCCTTGAACACTGCCAGGGATGGGGCAGCCCCAGCTTCTCTGGGCACCCTGTGCCAGCTCCTCAGCACCCTCACAGGGAAGAATTTCCATAGGAAGAATTCCCAGGCCTTGGGTGAACGTCTGTGGAAAAATCATCTTCCAGCTCCTAAAGCACAGAATTCCCCCTGTGCTGCCCAGGGAGGGCCGGTGGGGTTGGGAGCTTGGGGTAGTGGATCTAAGAGGAACAAAGCAGTGGGAGCACAGGAGAGCTGGGTCTGAGCAGGAAATGGCTCTGGTGCTCTTTGGAGGTAGAAATCACCTGTGCAGCGATACGGGTGTAGGTGTGATGTGGAAATGGAGTGGTGTTGTGTGGTGGTGCAGATGCATAAATAACTGTTCCATGTTGAGATAAGGTTTACAAGGATGGGGACTCAGTTCCAAGAGCAGCCAGCTAAGATTTGAGGCGTTTACATCCCTCTGCAGCAGCGAGTTTGATGTCCAGGGAGCCCTCAAATTTGAACTTGTGTTTCAGTTTTCATGGCTACTGTGATGCATCATTGCTTGTGTGTGTGTCCTGCTTTGTGTCTGGAATACCCCATGATCCAGAGCTGGAACATGGAGCAGATACATTGCATCGAGCTGCCCGTCGAGGTACAGGGCAAGGATTAGGATGAGCCTGGGAGCACAAACAGGCAACTTCCCAGGAGTGAGGGGAGGCTGGGGCTGCCTCTGGAGGGCTGCCATCGCTGTGTCGTGGCAATGAAGTGAAGGCCAGAGCTTCCTTCTCCCCCTGCATCCTTGGTGGTTAACGTGTTGCTGTGCTTCAGGTGAAGGGTAAAACCCAGGGCTCGATCTTTGCGCTCTCCAAAGCTGCTGGGGCAGCTTTTGGAAGACATCCTGTACATGTCTTACATGTGTCTCCTGCTTCCTGAAAGCAGTCCCACAGAAGCAGCCGTTTCAAAATAGGTTGGCACTATAGGATAGATCTGGGTTAAGAAGATCCCACTGGATCTCAAGATTTCACTTTAGGAATGATCCCAATTGCTCAAGAAATCTTTCTGCTCTTCTGAAGGATGCAGCTCGGTGCGATTCAGCAGCAGATTTGCAGAACAAAAGCTTTATAGGAGGTGGTTAATATTGAATGAGCAGCATTCCTGGTTCTAGGATGTGTCTGCTGGGTGCTTTGCACTGGAGACAGCACAATTCCCACCTTCACTCCTGGCAGGTAGTGAGTGTTCTCCCTCCTTGACGTAACTCTGCTTCCAGGGGTTTCTTTCTTGCTATTACGTGGAGCTCTTCCATCCACCACTGTTAGCGATGGTGTTAGTGAGAGGCCTCTCCCAAACCCTCCAGATTCCAGAGTGTGTGTCTGGAGGGAATTTCTGCCTCCCAGAAACTTCATTCATTTTCCTTGTCACTTCATTCAGTGACAAGTTTGTTGGTTGAAGCCTAAACCAGGACATTGGGGTGAGGAACAACAGTGGGAATGGATGATGCACCAGGGAGTAAGAACTCTGATTTCCAGGTGTTGGACGTTGCCCTCTGCTATAAGGTGGTTGTTCCTCTTTGTACTGGGTGGGGAGGGGGGAGTATCTTTTCCTTGGGGTTCAGCACGTTGACTGCAAGTGCCTGTGAGGGCCTCAGGTTGTTCCCAACCTCGGGGTGAGCTGTTGCTTTCACCCTTTGACAGCTGAGGAAGGGAATTCACGTTGCCTCGACGTTAGCAGATGAAATGAGGTTATTGTGCTCCTCGAAATCTCAGGGGGGAGGGGGGGGAAAGCAGAAAGCACCTTTCAGCAAAAAAAGCCAACCCAAAAGATGGGTGCTGGTGGAGTAACAGGAGAATCTGTGAGTGAGCTCTGGTGCTGAGGGTGCTCTCTCAGGGTTCTGGTATCAGACTGCTTTGAAGCACGGTCCTTTTCTTCCCTGCCTCACTTTTGGTCGCTGTGGTAAGCAACGAGGAAGCATTTCTCACCACAGTGAGAGAAACCACAAAAGATTTCAGTTTCCATTTCCCCCCCCACCTCCCATATTATGGGATAGCTTTCTGTTTGAGAGCCTTTGCTGCCTGTTAATGGTGTTTCTAATGTTAATTCCTATCCGTGCTGATGTGAGTCTGTCACTCTCGGCTATGGGGGGGAGCTTGTTTGGTTTAAACGTGCTGCTTCTGTGCTCCCTGCTTTTGTGTGAGCATATTTATTTGTTTGCCTTTTAGCCTGGCACTACAAACAGGAGTAACTGAGAATCTACCTGTGAGTAGTAACTGTGGAGTGTGATGAATGAGATCCTGGCTTAACACAGCGTGTCCCTGATGTGAGGATACCTGGTGGTGCCAGGACTTGTTGCTTATGTGATAGGTTTTAGATTTTGCTCTCAGTGAGTTGGGCCACTCTAAGAAAGAGGGTTTTTTGTAGATATATTCTGTGTATTGATAGCAAAGTTTTAGAAGATGGAGTAAAAGTGCTTGAGAGAAGCATCAGAGGTAGATGTTTAAGCTGCTGGCTGTGGGTGAAGCGTGGAGGGCTGCAGTGATACCAAGACCTGACCTGTGTGTCCCCTCACAAAAGGTGCTGGTGTATATGAGGTGGCAGTTGCTGGGCTGTTCCATAACACTGCTGGAATCCCAGAATCCCAGCCGGGGTTGGGTTGAAGGGACCTTCCTCCAGCTCCAACCCCCTGCCCCGGGCAGGGACACCTTCCACTAGAGCAGGTTGCTCCAAGCCCCTGTGTCCAACCTGGCCTTGAACACTGCCAGGGATGGGGCAGCCACAGCTTCTCTGGGCACCCTGTGCCAGCGCCTCAGCACCCTCACAGGGAAGAGCTTCTGCCTCAGAGCTCATCTCAATCTCCCCTCTGGCAGGTTAAAGCCATTCCCCTTGTCCTGTCCCTCCATCCCTTGTCCAAAACCCCTTTCCAGGTTTCCTGGAGCCCCTTTAGGCACTGGAGCTGCTCTAAGGTCTCTCTGGAATGACGAATCTAACCAGGCCGTGTATCAGCATCGATACTTGACCTGCTCACGGTCTTCTCTCTTACTTACAGTGTTAGAAAGTTCCCCACTATCTCTTTATCTCCTCTGTTGGCCTTCACGTGTTCAGCAACACTTCTCTGAGGCCATAAATGTAGGAGTGGGAGGACCTGCCTGGCTGAGTGTACAGGAAGCAGCTGACAGGGCCAGGCTGAAGGTGCTGTGTGCTCTAAGCCCTGGGGTCCCTGAGGCAGCAGACCCCTGGTGAGCAGCCTGCAGCCTCCAAGGGCTCAAGACCCAGTGCAGAGAGCTTCGAGCAGCACCTTCCTTGTTAACTCTATAATACCCAGAGCCCACAAGCACCGTTGGAGGTCCCTTGCCCCATTTCAGCCCAAACATCCTGTTTGCTGAGCACATCTCCTGCCGTGGTTGCTCACATCACCTGGAGAATCCAGTTGCTTCTTGAGCTCCTTCCGAGCTGATTTATTCCGGTTGTGTCCAGCCACGTTTTCTCTTAAGATCAGAGCCTTTTGTGCCAAAGCACAGCGAAATGGGCTTCCCCTGGCCCTCCCCATGGGCAGTACCACCAACTGGAGCGTGCTGCTGGGATTAGAGCATCTTACTGGAGTATCTGGGAATAGGTCAGGTGTGACGGACCAGGGCCTTTTGACGCAGAGCGGGTGGGAGGAGCTGTAACGTGAGAGGTGGAAGAAGAACCAGAGCTGCTCGTGAAGGCTGCTCGGAAGGACAAGATGTCTTCCTGTGCTCTGAGCTTTGTGGTGGGGACGAGCAGGAGCAGCCAGGGTGGCCTGGAGCATCCTGGAAAGCAGCTCAAACAGTGCCCGGAAGCCATGTGTGCTCGGGTAGAGCACTAAGGAGCTTTGGAGGGGTGATGGGATGGGTGTTAGATGCTCACTTCCTCAGCAAACCTTGCTCCTGATGGCTCTTAACTCTCTCTGTTGTGTCTTGTAGGCACTGGGGAGAGTGGAAAGAGCACGTTCATTAAGCAGATGCGTATCATTCATGGCTCAGGCTACTCTGAAGAGGACAAAAAAGGCTTCACCAAGCTGGTGTACCAGAACATCTTCACTGCCATGCAGTCTATGATCAGGGCCATGGAAACCCTGAAGATTCTGTACAAATACGAGCAGAACAAGGTAAGTTGCTCCCAGGTTTTGCACAGGTCTTTAGGCACTGGGGATTCCAGGGCTTGACTCCAAAGTTCCTGTTCCCTTGTGTCCTCCTGCATGGCAGTCTCAACCTCTGGGCAGTCTTTCCTATAGATGTTTTGTGCTCAACGACTGCTTTTTAGGCCATTTTGGCCTCTCTGTGAACAATACTCCTGCTTCGGACCCCTGACTACACCCCCTTTTGAACTTCTCCTTCTCTCTCTGTCTTCCCTCTTCATTCTCCAGGCCAATGCAGTGCTGATCCGGGAAGTGGATGTAGAAAAGGTCATGACATTTGAGCAGCCATATGTAAGTGCAATTAAAACATTGTGGAATGACCCTGGAATCCAAGAGTGTTATGACAGGAGAAGAGAATATCAGCTTTCTGACTCAGCTAAATAGTAAGTACCTGCTCACGGGTAGATAGGAGTGATGCTCTAACAAATAATACCTGTCCAGTTGTTTAAGGGAAGCCTAGAGTTGGTTCCAGAGGGCAGGAATACTGCTGTGGGTTTCCCTGTGTTATTTAAAGTACCTCCTCTCTTTCTCCCTGAGGTGGGTGAGTCTTGCTGGTGGTTTAGACAGGCTGCACAGCCTCTGCTGGCCACACGGATTGGGATAAAAGCTGTGGGCACATGAGAGGCACTTTGCCTCCATCAGCCAGAACTATCCTTAGGAAAAGCTAAGCTGAAAGAGCAGTGGGAGCAGAACCTGGGAACTTGTTTGAATCTGGCTCCACAGGACAAAGAGCTGCACTGCAGAAGCTGTGTTTGTTTTGGGCGTAGATTTAGATCTGGAAATTCCTCACCATTTCCTCCTTTTCCTGAGGGTCAGAGGGGTTGTGGGGGGTGATAAAGACAGTTGTTGACACATCTCCTTCTGGATCTACCTGAGGCTTGAATCTCTCTACCTTACACCATCTAGTCTGGCCCTGGCACTTAGGCAGCAGAAGCGTTGCTCTCTCTCTTCAGGTTTGTCCTTTGGTCTGTAACTTAATGTAACTTACTGGTGTCTGGTTTGACAGGTGACATAGGTTTGCTTGTTACTAAATAGAAAACCTCAGCTGAGGCTTAATCTGAACCATAAACATCCCTGAACTTCAGCTTTCTCTCTGTGAAGCTTGTCTGCCACACTCCTCTGCTGTCCTTGCTGTACCTGTTTCTCCCCGAAGCAGATGGCTGGTGAATTACTGTTCCCCAAAGATTTATTCCCATATTTGAAGTGGTGCAGGTGACTTTTGCTTTTCTTGTTGAGCCAGGGAAAGCCTAAAGGGGTTTAAATGTGTGTCTGTCTGTGCTGCAACCTCAGGCAGTTTGTCTTTCCCTTCCTGTAGCTATCTCAGCGACGTGGATCGTATCGCTACCCCGGGATATCTACCAACTCAGCAAGATGTGCTACGGGTTCGAGTTCCTACAACTGGGATCATAGAGTACCCCTTTGACCTAGAGAATATTATCTTCAGGTACTGAAGGTGTATTCATGTTACAGCTGAACTCGGAGAGGAGGGAGATGGCTTCAGGATTGCTTTAGAGTGGCCCCGTGCTTGAGTGGATGTGTGTGCTGCGATGTGCTGAAGCATCAGCTGAAGGCTGCTGCTGCAGTGGGGATGGAGTAACATGTTATCCTGAGGGAGGGAAAGCTCCGAGCTGTGAAACAGAATCAGTGACACTTAAAGCCCAACAAACCATCTTGCAGGGATCTTGGGAGGGATTATGTTGTGTGTGAGGAGTGAACTGGTGGGAGCTTAAGCCACGGATGGGATGGGAGAAGGCTTGCTCTGGGAGGGAAATGTGTTTGCTTTAAGAATGCTGAGCTCAAACAACCTTGACCAGTTATTTCTCCTTCAAAAAGAGACCACTTGTTGTGCAGAAATCCTCATGGGGTGGTTTTCTGTGCCCTCCTCGTGCTCTCAGGATGACACCAAATCTCACTGCCTGTGCTGCTGCAGCACTAGGTGGCATTTGGTGGCTTAAGTGTGGCCATCCTGTCAGTAGGAGGTATTTCTGGAGCAGGGTAGTTTGTAAACCTGATGGTTTTGTGAGCAAGCACATCTTCCATCCCCATGCCAGGTTAAATTGAGTGGCAAAGAGCCACGTTGCTCCTCATCATACGCTGCTCCTTTGTGTTCAGATAGAGAACTGCAGCCACTTCTGTGCTACCATGTGTGTTTCTCTTCCTTAGAATGGTGGATGTTGGAGGGCAAAGATCAGAACGAAGGAAGTGGATCCATTGCTTTGAAAATGTGACTTCCATCATGTTTTTAGTAGCACTTAGTGAATATGACCAAGTTCTGGTGGAATCTGATAACGAGGTAAGCCAAAGAGTGGGAACTCAGCAGGA